CAGGGGCAGAAAAGCGCCCACGCGCCGCACGGCAGGGGCGCGGCAGGGCGGCAAAAAGCCCGTGCGCTGTGTGGCGGGGCAGAAAAACGCCCGCGGACCCCGCGTCAGGGGTGGAAAAATGGCCGTACCTCGAAGCGGAGTTCGCACATCGAGGTAAATTTTTGGGGCCGGAGCTGCAGGTATCTCGAAAATTTCGTAAGTAGGGGCGTTCGTAAGTAGAGGTACCACTGTACTTCCATCCAGACTTTCTCCAAGCTGACCTCCAGAAGTTTGAGAAGATAACTATCAACCCCAGGAAGCATAGGGGTCAGTATTGGCAAAAACATCTGGAAAATTTAGGAAATGTTGCCATTAGTGGTATTTCATACAGTACATTTCTTCTTACAATAAAGGGGAAAAAATAATTTACTTTATTTCAGGATTCAGAAGCTCCAAAATTTGCTTTTGAGGCTGCTTTCCATCCCTTCACTGATGGTGCAAGGTTGCCATCCATCTGGTCTGCCCTAATCACCCTCTGGCCAGCTGGGAAGAAAAATTCTCCCTGAAATATCTTAAATTGGGACAGCAGCATGGAGTGGTGCACACAACATTCAGGAAGAAATGAAGCAAGGCTTCTCAGTTGTAGTCTTGGGGAAGGAACATTGTTGGATAGCAGATGGCTTAATACAGCAGAAAGAATGTGTACTGAGAGAGAAACACTTAAGTTGGAAAATGCTTTTCAACCTTGGCAACTTTACGAAGTGTGGACTTCAGCTCCCAGAATCCCCCAGCCAGCACTGCAGTGGCCAGGAGTCAACACTGACTCAAAAGCACAAAACAAAATAAAAAAAGTTTCAACTGTTCTTCTGACTGGTGGTGTGTTAAGGAGGGACATGGCCCAAAAGCAGATAAACAGAGTGGCTCTGAAGTACCACACTGTTTTATTGCAAGAGTTTGGGCAACACTGATTTGAATGGTAAAACTTGTGATAGCATACCTTAAACACTTGTTTAAACTGCAGGGATTCATGAGACTTGTAATTTCATACCACAGACATAAACAATGCCAGTTGTCATGATAAAGATTTGAGATTTCCTATCATAAACACTGATTTAGGCATGGAGACTTGTGAATTGAAACAGGAAACGCTGATTTCAGTAGCCCAAACTTTTGATTCTGAAGCCCTGCTTCGGGGCCTGTGTGCTTTGATGGGAGTGACCATAGAAGTCCTAACTTATTAAATGAGCCATTCACGGTTTCCTTGTGGTAAAGGAGCAGAGCTAACTAACTTAATCATGCATGCCCTTCTCCAGAGACTGCTCTTGCAAGGGTTTATCTATGGTGACCCTAGATGACAGGCACTTTCTCTGGCTTCAGGTTGAATTGCTACTTTTAAGAAATGGCAGCGTTGATTTTTATTCATTTATTTATTTTTTATGAGCTTGAAGTCCTTTGGTGCAAATGTTGGGATATACATATTTTAATACATGCAATAAATAATAAAACAGGAGGAGGAAGAAGAGGAAGATGATAACGACTCCAAAATGATGCAGCACAGAGTGAACCTTACCACCTTTAGCCTTCTACGTATCTTTAGCCCTCTAAGCACACTTTTCTTGGATGCCCCTTTCCATTTCCTTCCTTCCAAATATTTTGACAGCTCCCCGTTACTGAGCACATACACTCCTCATTCAACTGTTTTGTGAAAATCCCGTCTCCTCCACACTTTTTATCCTGAGAAGATTGGTTTATAATGGAGACACTATTATACAAAACATAGCATTAAGTAACCTGCATTTTTTCCAGACAAATCCAGGTTAAACAATGATTTCATTATGAGGCTTGAAAGTCGTATAAGCTGTCAGAAATGGTAAAGTGTATAATAGAGAGGTGGGACCAAAATGTTGTTTAGCTTAAGACTGAATTTACTTAATTCTGGCCTGGCCTGGAAATCAAACCACAGGTGCAGTTCTCCTATACCATGTTTGTCCACAGTTAAAAAAATGGACAAGAAAATTAGGAAAAATGCCCATTAAATTATGTATATTCATGAAAATGGCAAAGAAAATGCATTATATTAGAGAAAGATGATTGTAAAAATGCATGATTAAGATAAATGTGCATAAAATACATACAAACTCACAAACTTGCATCTACCATGTTGGCAGAACATATAGAAAAGAATGCCACATTCTTCTTTTTAACTGTGCTTTCCTATTGCTTTCCTATGCTCCTTATCATTATATTTAGGGGCGATTCTGACAGAGTTGTTCATTCATAATCCTGCAAATGATAGTTTTGCCCTACTGGCTCCTCAGCTAAACATATAGGAAGCTTGTTTTTATTTGCCCTTTTCCATTGCTTTACCAGGTAAAGGTGATGTTTTTGGGGACATCTTCTGGAAAGAGACCACTCTGGCTCACGCATGTGCCAACGTGCGGGCACTAACATATTGCGATTTGCACATTATCAAGCGGGAAGCTTTGCTGAAAGTTCTGGACTTTTATACAGCTTTTGCAAACTCTTTCTCAAGAAACCTCACTCTAACCTGCAATCTGAGGAAACGGGTAAGATCTCTTTAATCAAATTTTATATGGAAAGTTGTTTGTATGGTAGTGATCTAGTTTCTGAGTCAGTAGCTTCTTTCCAAGGAGCTAATGTGGATGTCATGCACTTAGTTCAAGTGTACAGTGATAACTTTTCCCTCATGAATGGTGAGAATGTTGAGGGCAAACCAGAGAAGAATTAGTGATAAAGAGGCAGTGAGACTATGCGGGAGAAGGAAGGGCCGTGTATGGTGCACTGATTTAGGTCTGCAGGTCAGAAGGTCCCCATTCTTCATTAAGGGATATGAAATGTTGAAGAAGCATCTGCGAGGGATTGCTTCAGGTCCTTTATTAGTTCCATGGAGACTGAGCAGGTAGAAGAGCCTGTGGTTATAACTGGCTGAACTATTCCATTGCTAGAAAGGCGCCAGGTAAGCAAACACATTTAGGAAGGAGGGAGAAAACAGAAGGTTCTGGAAGGTTTTGGAGTGAGTGGTCTATAATAATGTATGCAGGAAGGGGTCCATTCAGAGAAAATGTAGGAAATCTGAGGAGACAAGGTGTAGGGAGAGAATCAGGTTCAAGTTAAAATGTCTCATTTTGTTCCCATCCATTCTCCTCCTCCTCCTCCTCCTCCTCCTCCTCCTCCTCCTCC